ATGAGAGAGACTGCTGTAATCTAGTGTATATTTAAAATGTTAAAAATACAAAGTCTAGATGTCTGTAAAGGTCTGTATTCCTAATTTTAAGGTTACCTTCATGGAGTTAAAAACTGTTTTAAAGTAAAGCATAATCAAAAAACTCCTATCAACCTATTTCTCCTCTCAAACTTTTGGGCAGGATATCAACGGGCTCCTGCTCACATTGCAGCTTCACACAGAATCAGAACCTAATCTCATACACAAAAAATTCACAGTCCTGAAAGACAACGATGCAAAAACAATTATGCAAATGCTCTGGGGTGAGTTTTAAAACAAAATTACATTTCTTTTTTTTTTTTCCAAATAAAAACAACTATACATGCCTCATCATCTTCATCTGTGAGTTCCTGACCTTCTTCATTGTGGCTATAATCTTCTGAATAAATAGACTCTACTTCAAACTCAACACTGAATTGGTCTGAGACAGAACTATGATCAAGCCAATCAGAGTTTTCACTTACTGAACGAGCATCAAGATCCTGAACAGAGAAAGAGAGAAAATAAATTTAACTTCATTAATTTATTCTGATAACTACGACTGCTTGATATGTACATAGAGAAATAATAGTGAAGTGAAACTTCAGCTGCTGCATTGAAAGCAATTTGAATTATTGCAGTCAAATGCTTTCAAGGATCTTGGATGCAACCACACAATTCTATGATGAAATAACTGGCTCTGTGGATGCGGGGAAAGCAGTGGATACGATATACCTTGACCGTAGCAAGGATTTGAATACAATCCCCCACAGCATTCTTGCAAGCAAGCTGAGGAAGGACAGGCTGGATGAATGGACTATAACAGGGGTAGGCAACGTTTTTTGGCCGGAGTGCTGAAAAACACCACAATGCCTACCTCAGAAGGTGCCGGAGTGCCGGCATGGCAGAAAAACAAAGTGAGGGCAAGGGGTACATGGCAGGATGCCCTGCTTGTGCCCCTTGCCTCCCACCCAAACCCCCTGCCCCCCAGCCCTACTGCCCCTTGCCCCCCACCCAAAGGCCCTGTCCCTCAGCCCTACTGACCCTTGCCCCCAGCCATGCCGATCTGGCATCAGCTCTGTGCTGGCAGCGACTGCACGGGCACCTCAGGGCGGACAGCAGGGCAGCGCAGCCCGCCCCAAGGTGCCTATGCACTCGCCATCAGCATGAAGCTGATGCCAGAGCTGTGGCGCCCGGGCTGCTCCCAGCAGGCAGCTGGGACGCTGCAAGCCCTGTTGGGAGCTGCCCAGCTTTGGTTGCTGGCAGCAGCTACCCAGAGCTGTGGCTGGTCACGGCATGCCAAGCAAAATAGCCTTGCGTGCCATGCTTGGCACATGTGCCGGGGGTTCCTGACCCCTGGACGATAACGTGGATAGAAAACTGTCTGGACGGTCGGGCTCAATGTGTAGTAATCAGTGGCTCAATGTCTAGCTGGCAGCCAGTATCAAGTGGAGTGTCCCAGCATTGACTGCACCCTCAGCAAGTTAGCAGATGACACCAAGGTGGGGGGTATAATAGATATGCTGAAGGGTAGGGCTAGGATCCAGAGTGACCTAGACAACTTGGAGGATAAGGCCAAAAGAAATCTCATGGGGTTCAACAGGGACAGGGGCAAAGTTCTGCACTTAGGATGGAACAAGCCCATGCACTGCTACAGGCTTGGGACCAACTGGCTAAGCAGCTCTGCAGAAAAGGACCTGCAGGTTACAGTGGACAAAAAGATGGATATGATTCAGTAGTGTACCCTTGTTGCCAAGATGGCTAAACTGCATTAGTAAGAGCGTTACTAGCAGATTGAGGGAAGTAATTATTCCCCTCTATTCTGCACTGGAGAGGCCACATCTGGAGTAATGTATCCAGTTTTGGGCCCCCCACTATAGAAAGGACATGGCCAAGTTGCAGAGTCCAGTGGAGAACAATGAAAATGGTTAGGAGTAGGGCTCCACCAACAGAGATTTTGGGGTGCTAATACCGAGAGCCGATATTTAAGGAGGCATATCAGCTGATACCAATATCCAACACAGCTGCCATCAGCTGGTAAGTCCATTATAGTGGAAGGGGAGGGAAGGGGCGGGGG